CCCTGCCTTGAGGCATCGTGCCTCAAGGCTTCCGCCCTGCCCTTTCCTGCCTCGAGGCGCCCCACCTCGCCCACCCAATGCCTCGTGGCACGGCCCCACCCCAAGGCTTTGCAGGCATTGAGGCCTTGCCCGCCTCGAGGTACCTTGTCCCCCCCGAGGCCGGCCTTGTGATTGTTGATGATCACGAAAGATTTATAACAAAAAGAAGCAAGAACAAAACTGAGTTGGGTTGAGAGTAATTCAAACCTTTCACAATGAAGGGAACCAAGGGTCTCGTTTTATACCATCAATCTTGATCATATGCATGTACATGGTTTTTGAGTAAGTCACTAAGTTTCACAAATTAATCAAGAAAAAGCTGATGAGAAAAGGAACACTTCTAAAATCAAGGAACGAGCAGAAGACATGTTTAACGCATTTCTCACATTTAAAATGATTACCATAAAAAGGATCTCTATAACCAATCTGAGAAATTTGGAAGGATTTTAGTCTATATTGAGCAATCAAACTCAAAAAAAATCACGTTTTCAGTTCTGATGACTAATCAAAAGCCAACTGATCATGGTAAAAAGGATCAATGAATTAAAATGAAGACAACACCCCTCTGCTTAGCTCTTTCTGATTCAAGTTTTTGCAGATAAAACAAATATAGATGGTGCTATTAATGTGGAGGACATCAAGAATGGGAAAATAATATAGCTACTTAAGGAAAATAAGATTCCTTATAACAACAACTAATTACTAAACCAGGACTACAAATGTAAAAGTACATATTTGCCTCTTAGCTCGCAATCTAAAGTTTAAATGAGAAAAGGGTTTTAGGGGATAGCAGGCCAATCAAATAATGACAGGTTGCATGTACAAAACAAGATGAATGCACTCTTAAGAACTATTAAGAAGTAACTGAATGATTCGAACTACATATGCATCTTACCTCTCAGGTGCAACATAATTTAGAGCAACAGACCCTAGACCATGTCCTACACATAGACAAGAAGTATAAAAACCATTCTCATCAAAATATACCTTTGATTGCCAAACTTGCTTTCCCCTCTTTGTCATGGATCCTGTCCAGCAATTAAATGAAGAACTCATGAGCATCTTGCTGCACGTAGGTAGCATGATTTTCCAAATGTTGCCACCAACTGCAAACATAAATTGTTCAATAAAAAAGAATCACTACATAGGTCTTCACCATGTCAAGTCTCTAACGAATGTTAAGAATTTCCACGTATAAACATCCGATCTAAGCTGAAAAATTATGATATCTTACTACAGCATAGAGATTTTTATTTTGTCATTATATGATAATTGTAAACTTGCATATAGCCCCGTTATAGAAGAAATGCATCAAATAACAGCTATGGGGATTAAACATCTTTTACATTTTTGCAGATACTATTATAACCAAGATCTTATCAATAATTTAAATGGCAAAGACAAATAGAAAGCGATTTGAGTTCACTCATAGGAGATAAATCCGACTAACAGACACAGACCTGTAAAGAAACTGAGTTGGACTTAAGGGGTCAGATCACAAGAAAATACAGCTGAAAACCTGAGATCAATGTCGCAAGGCAGACACAATCGATCCGAGGAAATCTTTCTGCAAATTTCTCGGTTATGTCCCCCCATAGACCCTGCCTCGAAGCATCGTGCCTAAGGCCCACGCCCAACTCAAGGCACCGCTGTTCCCCGAAGCCCCACCCTGCCCCCGCCCACCTCGAGGCACCATCGTACCCCGAGGACTCACCACCCGCGCGCCTCGAGGCACCGTCGTGCCACGAGGCCCCACCCATTTTCGCCTCGAGGCACCGTCGTGCCCCGAGAATCAGCCCCTCACCTCGAGGCACTGTTATGCCTCGAGGACAAT